ATATATATATAAAATAAACTATAAAACACTAAAATTTATATAAATACAAAATGAAACTTTTAATAATCCAAATTGTCCGACAAGTTAATAATAAATCCATAGATAGTGATGAAACCAATAATATACATTTGATATTTCAACATCAAAAGTTTTAAAATGTTTTGATAACAAGCATTCCTAGAAACCGCCACATGCATCTACAACAATTAACAATTCAAAATTCAAGTAAGGTCTAGATCTTAATCACTGCCTCCGTCTTCCATCTCTTCATCTACGCCACCTACAAAAGAGTATAAAGTGAGATTTGCAAAATGGATTATGCTCGGACCAAAGGTAAAGAAGCTGTTCTGAGGCAAGAAGAACCAAAGGACCAATTGTAGTAATATTGGATTACAAAGCTTCCCCTACTATAACCATAAGATCTTTAGAAAGATTAATACGAACTTTTCCTTGTGGATCTTCTTGTTCAAAAACACATCTATAAGCTTTATCATCAGCACATTTATGTGTTCTAACCATATGCATTAATCTATACTTAGCTCTATTGCTGTCTTTTCTTTTGTTTGACAAAAGTATAGCAGCACCACCCATTCTAAACAAACAATTAGGCAAAAGCATTGCTCTTTCTGAACCTTGGTAATAATTAGGTGTAATAATTTCACTACTTACAACTAAAGCAGATGAATTTGGAAGAACTTGTAGAAGGTCTCTAGCTAAATCAATAGAGATTAAACCAGCACTACATCCCATACCAGAAAGATTGTAACTTTTTATGTTACTTCTAAACTTGTATTTGTTCACAACCATAGCTGATAAAGATGGAGTTGGAGAAAACAAGCTGCAGTTAACGATAAGAATATCGATATCTTTAGGTTTTAGACCTGTTTTCTTCATTAAGTTGTCAATAGCTGAGAATATGACAACTTCAGCTTCAGCTCTAGCAGATTCCATTGTTGGTGTTGGAGGTATGTAATGACAAGCAGTAGGCAAACAAGTTTCTTCACCAAGTCCTGACCTTTCAAGAATTGGCATTTGGAACTTCACACTTTCAGGATTATCTTTCAAGAATTTCAGCTTCTTTATTTATTTATTTTGAATGAGAAACAGGTTTGGAGAGAATGCAGGGGAAGCAACAGAAGATGCATTAGCGACAGTAGGGCACTGTGCATCAGGAACTGCTTGGAATGTGTTCAAAATAAGGAAGGCTCTTAATCCTGCTTCTTCTGTATCCTCTGGAGCACTCAATGCAGCAAAAACAAGTAAATAATAGTACTGGTGCACACAACAAGATTTAGAATCTGAGTGGGGTCGAGTACAATAAATTAATGAGTTCTGCAAGTGCATTGACCATATAAAGACATCACCATAAGCTAACATAGTACAAACTGTATTAAGCTAACATAGTACAGTTATGTACCGACAGAACTCCTAGAAGAACCATCATTGCTTTAAGAAGCCAATACTCCAACAAAAATGAACTTTCAACAGACTGAACAAATACATTAGTAGTTATGAATAATAGAACATTGACCACAAGTTTATCCAGTCTATCTCTCCAACATAGAGTTGTCTTTATAACTATTATATTTAGTAGAGCAATCAGAGTACAAATTACCACTACCGCCCAGAGTTATCAGGCCACTTGAATGAAGTAATGAAATCCAAATCAACAAAGATAATAGGGAATGACAGTACTCTTTTGAACTCTTGCGCACTGATAAAGAGAGAGAGCGAGAGAGTGCACAGTTTCAGATAGGTTTGGGTTGTGTTGCGCTCGTTTTTTTTATGTTTCGGCGCCGTTTCTTCAAGCATAAATGATATCATATTGAACAAATGAGCTGACCGTGCGGGTCCATGTATTGATACCATAGCGCGTGAGTTGTCCGAGTAGCATGTGAGTTGACCGTGCGGATCCAGGTATTGATATGATGGCATGATTGAGTGAGGCCGAGGGCCTGGTTGTGAGGATAACTAATACCATATCGCGTGAGCTGTCTGCGTAGCACGTGAGCTGACCGCGCGGGTCCAGGTATTGACACCATAGCGCGTGAGTTGTCCGCGTAGCACGTGAGTTGACCGTGCGAATTCAGGTATTGATATGATGGCATGGTTGAGTGAGGCCGAGGGCCTGGTTGTGAGGATATTAATACCATAGCGCGTGAGCTGTCCGCCTAGCACGTAAGCTGACCGTGTGGGTCCAGGTATTGATACCATAACGCGTGAGTTGTCCGCGTAGCACGTGAGTTGACCGTGCGGATCCAGGTATTGATATGATGGCACGTGAGTTGTCCGTGCTTAGCGCTTGGGCTTTGGGAGCCCCTCCGGAGTCTATACACATCCCCAGTGAGCGCAGAGTGTTGAGTGTATTGAGTGTTGAGTGCTGAGTGCGAGTGATGAATGATGGAGTGACACTGCTGTGAGGTTGCATTTACTTTTGTTGTTGCTGCATTTTACTTGTTAAATTTCTTTGTGGCATTTACTGAGTTATGGAATTTACCTGTTTATTTCTATTTATTTTTAAATTGTGAAAATAAAAAATTAGACTGTTATGCTTAGCTCGTCACTACTACTCAGTTCCTTAGTTGTTTCTGTTACTATTGAGCCGGTTGTACTCATACTACACCCTGCACTTTATGTGCAGATCCAGGTGAGTTAGAGCGCGGTGATTGTTGAGTTCAGGCCGGCTATCTTTGGTGATTGCAAGGTAGCTGCTAGCGTCCGCAGGACCTTGTTACTCCTCTTGTCATTTCTTCTTTTGGACAGTTAGACAATTTATATATCTTAATTTATAGTTTTAGACGTTCATGACTTAGTGACACCTCGATGTTTGGGGCTCGCTTTCCGTATTTTTCTATATTATATTTAGAGTTGATTTAGTTTATGAAAAATTTAAATGAAATATCTTATTAATTTCTTATAATCGGTTTAGTAGTAATATTTTGGGAAGTAGGCTTGCCTTGTAACACGATAGGCGCCATCACGACCATGGTTAGATTTTGGGTTGTTACACCTCTAATAGAAAAGTGGGCCACGCGTACGTGTGCACCATAGTTTTAGAAGACTCAGAAGGGAGGCGTAAGAAGACGGTTCAATACAGATCAAATAATATCAAAGCAGTAAATGAGCGGCGATTAGCACATTAGGCCCACAAACACAGTAATATCAACAATCAAGAAAGTCAAGTATAGATCACATTAACAAGCTCGAATTCTGAACCCTGAACCAGAAGTTCTGGGTTATTTTTCCCCGCAGAGTCGCCAGACCTGTCACACCTCCTTTTTTTGAGGAATAGGGAGTTTTTTCAATTTAAGTGACATTATTCGAAAAGATTTTAAATCTCAAATCGAGGAAATTTGACTCTGTTTAAAATTCCGCGAAACTAGAAGACTGGGTAAGAAATTCTGTTAATCCGGAAGAAGGTGTTAGGCATTCCCAGATTCCGTGGTTTAGCATAGTCGCTTTGATCATGCCTGGCTTAATTAATTATTTAATTACGTATTTTAGAACCTATGTGCATTTTAACCTTTTACCGCATTTAAATTACCTAATTATGGTGTTATGAAACGGATCACATGTGTGCGAATCCGTTTTATTTGACGTGCTAAAATTATGTCACGCGTATGTGTACACAGTCAATAACACTTTATTAATATTAAGATTGTTTTTCTCAAAGTTGTGAACGCATACTTCGGCTTTAATTTTGGAAATCACAATTATGTCACGCAAACGTATACATAACCGCGATAGATTAATTAAAAGCGCGCCTAAAGAACTCTAACGGTGTTCATTATTCTTCCTAAACTTTGAGATTTTTGTGAGGCCAAGAGTTTATGGATATGAGATTGTTTGTGGAAGAGGTGTGACTTAGCTATTATCAACAAGTCGCTAAATATAACTTAGCACTCTATCTTTTGGGATTAACGAAAACTGTAGTCCAAAACCCATTCTTTTGACTAAATAAAACTGCAGCCCATTCAACTTAAATCATGATAGGATCCAGAGCTTCTCTATTTTAAAATTACAGGCCCAATACTAAACTTCATATGGCCCATTACCCTTTGAATCCCGCAGACTAAACAAAAGAAGTAATGTCCAAAAATAAAGCTTATTTTGCAACTCCAAACATAAATCAATTACCCTCAAACTATTTTATTTAATAACAAAATCTAACATGATATAATAGTAATAAAGTAATTAATTAAAAACATCTCAACACTCAGTAAACAAACCTAAACGAAATAAACAATTAAACAATACGACATGGTAGGGAACGGGTTAAAGCATGAAATTTGGAACGTTATTGAGCAGAATAGGAACAGGAATGAACCTTTCAATAGATAAAAAATTTTCTTCAATACATAAGGAGCAGAGATCCGTTGAGCTTTTGCACAAAACTGAATCGCAACCGGAACCGGCGGAAATCTTGACGGGACTTCAAATCATGACCTCGACTGAACTTGTATTTTTAGTGGTGATTTGGGGCTGATTTTGAGACAGTTTCGAGAGTGTTTTTAGGTGATTTTCGGGCTGTGTTTTGGTGGTTGTTTCGCTGGTATTTCAACAGTGTTTTGGAGTTTTTTTTAGGGGGGGGGGGGGGGAGGGAGAAAGCAGCAGGTTTGGTCGCGTTTTGAGATCGATGTTGGATGATTTTGGCGACCGTTTTTCTGCTGTTTGACGATGGTTTAGTGACTGTTTTTGGGGATATTTTAAGGTGGACTTTACAGCTGGTTTGTGTGGGTTTAAGGGGGAGGAATAAGGCTTGAAAAAAGGATAATTTTGTGCTCCTCAAATAGCTATTGCTGCTGCGTTTTTACTGCTGAAAATTGGTGTTTTAGGTGACGTTTTGCTGAGATTTTTGGCTTAGTTTGGACATGTTTGTTGGGCTGGTTCAGGGCTATCTTGGAGTTGATTTTCAGAGCTCGTTTTGGGGTCATTTGTGGCTGCTTTTTAGCTGGTTTTTGGTGACCGTTTGGTGCTATTTTCGGTGTCCATTTTGCTGCGTTTTTCAACTGTGTTTGGAGAGCTTTTGGGGGTGATTTTGCTGGGTTTCTAATGGAGGAGAATGGGTGGGGAGCTATGGCTGTTTGGTGGAATTTTTATGGAGCTTTACATGGTGATCGGTGTTTTAATTATGAGGATGACAGTGAGAAAACAAAAGAGAACTCTTTTGAATAAAGAAGGAGCTCCCCTTTTCTTAGGCCCCGTTTGGCAGTTTTAAAATAAATTTGAGATTTATATTCAAAACTCATGTTTGGCCATGAATTTTGCTCATATTTTGGCCAAATTCCAAATTCCAAATTTCAAATTCCAAAATCAGCTATTGGGCCAAACGCTAGCTTAGTTGTTGTTGCTCTGCTTTTTCTAAGCTACTAGGCTCCTCTAATTGTTCTTTTTCGTCCGTTTCCCCAGATCCCTCCCTGTGCTCTCTCTGTTTTCTGTTTTTTTTTTCCCAGTCCTCCCAGGTGTTATGTGGGTGAGGTCTTATATGATATGTGTGTGTATTAGATGGTGTGAGGTGGGTGAATTGGAGGACAAGAAATATTTCATCACAGCTAACGTGCGCTTGGCTAGTGCATTTGCCAAAATCTTTCAAGATAAGAACAACACAAAAACTAAAAGAAAAATAAAACAAAAAAAAATGATGCATTCTAAAAGATCACTGTATGGAAAAAACGTGACATTCTCTTTCTTTTTTGTAGATTTTCTTTATATCTTTTTTCCAGGTAAAATTAATATTCCAAAAGTGTGACTATTTTTTATAGTTTTCAATTTTATTAAATGGACCTACTAATAAGTGAAATAAAGGCTAAAATATCAAGATTAAAATAAACGAATATGAAACACTAAAAAAGTGATAAAGTTTTTAAGTATGATCAAAAATTAGGTGCTCATAAATACCGTGTATGTTGTGGGAATCAGGTCTTTTGCAAATGATCGGATGGGGGTTTATTGGCGTTGGTGAATAATCCTCAGGTGAGATGTTGTTGTCGGGCGTACGTGGATTTGGGGTGACACGGGTTCACCCGGGGGAGTATATATGGCTAAAAAATTTTACTTTCTCCGGTCCATTTTAATTAATTTATTATTTTTTTTTTTGTGGTCCACAATATTTACTTTTTTAGATATCAAGAAGGAATAATTTGTTTTTTTTCAAAGTTATCCTTAGAGTAAAGAGGTTAGGAGTATTTGTTGTATTGCTCAATGAACAAATTAAGATTAATATGGTCAATTTTATTATTAATTAATGTTAAAAGATGAATTCCTTAATATGCGTGAAAACAACCAAAAAAACAATAAAAGTGATTCGAAAGGAGCAATTACGAGAAATGAGCGTAAACATTTAAGAAGAGATACCAAAGGAAAATTTACGAGTAACTGCGGATATAAATCAAAGGTAAAATCTTAAAGGGAGATGCTAAACGACTACACTGGTGCGACCCAACTTTGGCCACACCCGTGAAAAGACATAAATGACCCTCTAACTAATTAGCCTACATTTTTCCCTCCAAAACATAAAATTAAATTTCAAGTTTTGAAGTATGCGAAAATTAATAGTTGGAGATGAAGAGTCTTGTGTATTATATTTATATTTTCATTATATTTATGTGTATTTTATGTTTATACAAAGTATACGATTTAGTGTGTATACAAATTATTGTATTTTCTTCCTTTCTTAAAAAAAAAAATACGGTATACGATTTATTATACTTCCTTCATATCAAACCAAGTCAAGTGGACACTTTACCCTATCTAAAAAATGGATTCAAACCAAGAAAATTCAGTGGTGCAAAAAAATATGAATCCATATCTACTTATTATTTATATTTCATAATTAAGTTGCTAATTATATCCCAAAATATAACGATTGGTGTCAATTGACTAGTGGAACCATAGTAAACGTAATTATATGGTCGTTAACAATAAACGCATGAACTTAATGAATGAAATTATATGTTGGCTACTATACACATATATATAAACGTTCAATGCATCATATATAAAGCGCAACAATGTAATTAACTAGTGTCAATATCTACTTATTATTTATATTTCATAATTAAATTGCTAATTAAATCCTAAAATATAACGATTGGTGTCAATTGACTAGTGGAACCATAGTAAATGTAATTTATGGTCGCTATCAATATCTACTTATTATATATATAGACGTTAAATGTAACTATACAAAAAGCACAACAATGTAATTAACTAGCATCAATATCTACTTATTATTTATATTTCATAATTAAATTGCTAATTATATCCAAAATATAACGATTGGTGTCAATTGACTAGTGGAACCATAGTAAACGTAATTATATGGTCGCTATCAATATACGCATGACCTTAATGAATGAAATTATATTTTGGCTACTATACACATATATATAAACGTTCAATGTAACTATATATAAAGCGCAACAATGTAATTAACTAGTGTCAATATCTACTTATTATTTATATTTCAGAATTAAATTGCTAATTAAATCCTAAAATATAACGATTGGTGTCAATTAAATAGTGAAACCATAGTAAAAGTAATTTATGGTTGCTATCAATATCTACTTATTATATATAGAGACGTTAAATGTAACTATATAAAAAGCGCAACAATGTAATTAACTAGCATCAATATTTACTTATTATTTATATTTCATAATTAAATTGCTAATTATATCCCAAAATATAACGATTGGTGTCAATTGACTAGTGGAACCATAAACGTAATTACATGGTCGCTATCAATATACACATGATCTTCATGAATGAAATTATATGTTGGCTCCTATACACATATATATAGACGTTCAATGTAACTATATATAAAGCACAACAATGTAATTAACTAGCATCAATATCTACTTATTATTTATATTTCATAATTAAATTGCTAATTATATCCCAAAATATAACGATTGATGTCAATTGACTAGTGGAACCATAGTAAATGTAATTTATGGTCTCTNGCATTTATGTATTAGGGTTCTTATTTATTGTAATTTTATTGTTAAGGTATGAAGAAATTTTGTTTGGTTTTCTTACTTTTGGAGTGGTTAAATACTTAAAATTTTATATCTTTTCTCTTAATTCTTGTGGTTATTTGTAGCCAAAGAAGAATTGATAATAAATACTCCATTGCTTAAACTCGAGTAAGTATCTTTACTTATATCTCATTTGCTTCACTATTAATGTTTGAAAGTTTAATTTATTATTACTTGGTTTTCTTTTCACAGGTATATGAAGGTGAAAATTTTTTCAGGGTTGAATTATTAGACAAGTGGTTACATTAGCAATTTGAGGAAGCAACAAATTTTTATTTATTTTTTAATTTATCAATATTCTTGTATTTTCGTTAGACTTTCATGTTGGATATATTTTACTTTATTTGTGTTTTAACTTATGAAGTTTGTAACGAAATATTATCTCAATATAGTATTAGTTCTTTTTAATTTTATGTTCATGGATGGAGATTTTTGTTGTTACCTTGCATGTTATATCCTGTTACTTCCAATTTATATAATAATAATTTCTCGAATTAAAGGAAAATCAGGTAACTAGTGACAAAAATAAAGTTTTCCAAGGATTATTTTATTGACGATGGATTAACTTTGTACTTTGTGACTATTGTAATTATCACTAATTATGACATTTTATGACAATTTTTTTTTGTCGGTAAAAGCAATATATTTAGTGATGAGATGATAGTTTTAACTACAAAATTGTAAACCATTTTTATAAAAGTAAAATTGTCACTAATTTATATATTTAGGGACGAAATATTATTTGTATCTAAAAGGCGATCTTTAGTGACAAAATTACATTTATTCAACTACGAAATATACGTAACTTTAGAGACAATTGATATCGTTACTAATTAAACTAAATAATTAGTTACAAAGGTCGTTTGTCGGCATTAATAACCTTTTTAGTGACGAAAACAAACAACCAGCTACAATTTTTTTTTTTAATATTTTTTTGACGAACAATGGGATGAAAAAAAAACTTCGTTGTTAATATAACTATATTTAGCGACAAAACACAAAGTTGTCTTTGCATACTTTTAGTGACCCTCTTTTAAAGACGAGCAATTGACGAATTAATTTTCCCTGTAACTTGATAAATCATAAGAGAAGAAGAAACCGTCACAAAATTTTTTTTGTGACGAAATATAAGCTTTAAGTGACAAAATAATTCGTCATAGATAATCAATTTTGTTGTATTGTTAAGTAGGGTATCATGTGTTTAAATAGTAGGGCTTTGAAGACCTACTAAAAAATATACGAAATACACACTCAAATACTAAATATATACGAAATGTACAATTAAATCCATGTATAAAGATGAATTATTTCGAATTATATGGGTGTATACTACAAAAAAAAAGGATGGAAATATGTTTTAAAAAAATAAAAGAAAAGTTTTATGGAAAATAGGGTTTGAACCCTTGAGATCTTCCATGTATTGGGAAGACAAATATTTAATGGAGGGAGACAAATATTCAAAAGGTTACTGAAAGGGCACTTTGGGTATAAAAATATGCATGAAACCCTAATTAGGGCGTGAAAGTACCTAAATGACCCCATTTGGGTCAATCTGGCCAAAATCGGTGTGGTCAAAAGGATTTTTCCAATCTTAAAATAGCCAAACGTAAAATACACTTTGCAAACATTTCTCAAACCTTTGGCCTTTGCTTTTTCGAGAACTTATGGGAAGGAGCAATTTTGCAACCAACAAGAACAACCGTAAAGAATGTTCCATTGTTAATACAGGCAGATAATAACAGAAGAAATTGAGGCTCAAGAGTAAATTTAAGGGAAGTAAAAGATAGTAATTAATTACGCACTGAAAAGTGAGCAAACTGGAGAGAGATACAATCTTACTGTCGAAATAAGATTGATTCGTCAAAAAAAAAAATAGAGATCAAAAATCAAATTTAATATGCTAGTCATTCCACATAAATCATGCATTTTAATCTACAATTGGGATATCCTAAAACAAAGAAGAAAGAAAACAATATGGTCACTTAGATTGAACCCTCAAATACAATAAGCGACTAAAATAAATGTTGAAATTATAGGGCCCAACCGGGTTCGAACCGGTGACCTCTTGATCTGCAGTCAAATGCTCTACCACTGAGCTATGGACCCCGGCGATTGTAGAAGCTATAGAAATGTTATTAATATTATATGCGCCTCCTCTTGTCAAATTTTGATGGATAACACAGCCGCAACGTCTTGGGGAATGGGGACAACGCATCAAGCTCGAATACTCATATTATCTTAGGATTTAAGTATGCTAGAATGGTCGACAGGTACTGAGAGTAAATTCGGCACTTAATTTCCCATGAAAAAACCTTGATTTTGAATTGAAATCATGTAAAAAGATGTTATAGATTGAAGAAAATGAGTTAGAAATGGCTTACTAATGATTTGAAGAAGAACTTTTCTTTGGAATATCGCCAAAGAGAGTTTAGGGTTTGAGAGAGTTTGAAAAATGAAGA